GAAAAAAAAATTCAGTTCTCAAATCCGAGAGTGGATTCATATTCAAACTTCAATTTATTTCAAAACCTTTTGATGTTTTCGGTATCATTTGATTGTGTTAAACATTATGATATTCCTCCAATGTTATTATAAAGATTTTAAAAATACACAGCTTGTTTTTAGAAGCTTTCTCTGAAACTTACAAGGATCGACAATTAATCTTTCTTTTTTTTTTGCTGGTGTTATTGAATAGTGTTTTTATATTCTGAATATCTAAATGACACACAGAGAGGTTTAATCAAACTTATATTATATATTATATATATAATTCTTTATCAACGTTTTGTGAGACCACCCGTTGGGTCACAAAGCGGTCACACATTATTTGTGTCCCGAGTCAAAATGATCTATTGGCCAGTTAAAGCAAACACTGAATAACCACTGGACGGAGATGGACATAGGCCTACGCATGCTCTCGTTTTTGTTTGTTATAAAGAATGTTTTCCAAGTCTGTTGTGCCAGTTATGGTCGCATGGTCAGTGCTGCCCTCTAGTGAGGGGTTTGTTATAATTTTAGTTTCCTCCATGAATGAGAGTTTGTGAATCCCAAGAGTGGATTCAACCGTCTACTTATATCAATCTCAAAACCTTTTGACATCATCTGTAAAATTTGAGTGTGATCATCTTTATAACAATCTTCTAGTGTCAGTACAGAGATAGAAATATCATAACTGCTTGGCTATTGAAGCATTGCCCTGAATTTCGAAATCAGCAACAACTCAAATTCTGAGTGACCAATGAACGGAGAAGGGCGAACGTATAATACTATGGTCGCTTTTAAGCACAAGGGGGCTATCCCGAAAAATGCTGCTATGAGAAAATCGAAAGGTAAAGTTTTTGCCATTTGTTCAGTTTCTTTAAAAGAAAAGGAGAGTTTTCTCTATAACCAAACAAATATACACACCAGTGAAACCAAATGTCTCCTTTATTATGTAGCGCAATGCCCACTTCTGATGTAGGTCAAGATTTCTGGAAACACCCGAAATCTGGGTTTGCCCGCTTGTCCTTAAAATCGATCATATTAATAATGTTCTCGATGTTGTTTGTAAAAGACAAGGACCTCCTCCAGGTTTTAAGTAAGACCACACTTCAAGCCTCTCATGCCAACGATGTCTGTGTGGCTAGTACTCCCCTCTACTGTGATATTTCTATTAGGTTCAGCTACATGTATCTCCACGTGAGTTTGTTGATTTGAGAGTGGACTTAATCTGAATCTCTAAACTTTTGGACGCACGATGTCTGTATACTGTATAGTTTGAGTGTGTTTATAATTATACCTGCCAAGGGTTATTACAGTTACAGTGATAGAAATGCTTTGCTAGGCTTAACTCTACAGTGCCCATTGTTTTATAATTCTTAACGGGTAGTGGAGCATGATACCCAAGCCTCTCATGGTAGGTGATACCTCAGCCTCTCATGGCAGATGATACCCCAGCCTCTCATGGTAGATGATACCTCAGTCTCTAGTGGTAGATGATAACTCAGCCCCTAGTAGCCTGCGATATATGATACCCCATTGCTGACTAGACGTTTCTTCACTAGCACCTGAGCTGTGTCGTTGATTGAACGATCTGCGTTGTACGAGAAAAACTATCGACGTCACCTGTCTTTCCGAGCTCAGTCCCCATCAAGTGGATATATACGAGGCTCTGAGTCTAATGTTAGTAACTGACCGAGGTACTCACTTGTATTTGCACCACCCCTCTCTCTCCTCCTCTCCCCCT